AGGCTTCCATTGTGAAGTTTGTATCCTGAGCTACTTCTATTAAAAACAACAACCTTTTACTAGCATGGGAGAAATTTTGTCTGGAAGGCACTTCATGTACAAAAAACTTCACAATAAAGGTTATGTACCGTAAATAGCTAGAAGAGGCATTCTTCACTGATGGCTCATGGCACAATCTTGAGGCACCAGTGTCAAGAAGGCTTGTGCAGTAGTACCTTGTTTCGGTATGTTGTTGAAGTGACAGCAATACTTACGACTGCAATGTATCTTCATTCTGAAGGTTATGTACAGCATGGAAGCTACAAGCCCAAAAACCCAATCTGCTCCTCTCAAGTGGTCATTCCAGTTCTTTGCTTGAAAAGCTCTCAGAGGCTACAGTGAGCCACTTAACCAGTTTCAAATTCTACAGCAATATATAGGGTAACTAATGAACCGAAGTGAACAACAGATATCTCGAAGACACTTCCAGGATTTGATTGGTTTAATAGAGTGTGGCACAGATTCTCCATACACTACATGTTCCTTGGAGTTTTGTCTTGTATGGCAGGAAGATGGACGTGTGACCCTTTCCTGCCAGACAGCTTGGAGCAGGCTGGATGACGTAGGTGAGTGTCCAGAAGGAGCCAGCTCGGAGCAGGCTCGATGATGTAGGTGAGTGGCCAGAAGGAGCCAGCGTGGAGCAGGCTGGATGAGGTAGGCGTGTGCCCAGAGGGAGCCAGCTCGGAGCAGGCTGGATGGCGTAGGTGAGGGCCCAGAAGGAGCCAGCTCGGAGCAGGATCGATGACGTAGGAGAGTGCCCAGAAGGAGCCAGCTGGGCGCAGGCTGGATGACGTAGGTGAGTGCCCAGAAGGAGCCAGCTTGGAGCAGGCTAGATGACGTAGGAGAGTGCCCAGAAGGAGCCAGCTCGGAACAGGCTGGATGACGTAGGCGAGTGCTCAGAAGGAGCTGACACCTGCATACCTGCAGTGTGCCACGGTCACGAGTGCTGCTCTTCTCTGCCCCTGCCATGAATCAATCCTCACACTGGAGTAGTAAACTTCACTGAAACTGCACCAAAACACCAGATCATTGGCTGAAGGAGAACTCTACACTGTTGAGGTGTTACAGGCTGCAATGTCACTTCAGTAAGCCGCTCAGTGGACTCAGCCCTGATGCACCCTGCAGATCGTCATTTATTCAAACCCACTTTACAGTAGTACAGCACTGCACTTCAGTACAATTTTGTGCAGGATTGTTAAATCAAAAATAAAAAAGGTTCATTCTTTTACTTTACTTGACAAACCCACGGAGAAAAAACAAATTTAAAACAAATTATCATGAACAAAAACACAACAGTAGCTTTCCAGTTAGGATCTGGACTCAACCTTCAAGGCCAGAGCTCAATTGACTAGACAGACGTCATGGCTTTTCCTGTTTAGAGAGCCAAAGTATTTAATCCCGTTTTCACTTAAAAGTTCCAACTACCATTTTTTTAACCAGCTGGTCCACCTTATAAATGTAGAGCTTAAAGTTTAAAGTAAGAAAGTAATACTGCCTCCTTAAGATCTAAGGAGAGCATCCTCATGTTTAATGCAGTTTATCCTTCCTTAGTGCTTACTTGCAGTTCCCATTATTTTGTTGTAAACGAAATCATACAGTGACTGTCTCTCTCCTTGGGAATATTTTTGGCAATACAGAGTCAGCACGCCATACAGTCTCCCTGTGGATAAGAAAGAGAAAAAGGTTAAATCTTCATGTGTTCCAACACTTTCAACTGCTGTATCTGTTGAAATGTCCCTGAATTCACAGTTTTAGCTTTGAAATTTCAAAAGAGGTTGACTTTTAACTTTCAGTGGCATTTGTCAATCCATGCAATATGACAGTTTCCCACATTTTCCTGGTCAGGGTCATCAGACGGTACCTTGTCTGGTCCTGGAGAGACCTGCAGGACTTGCAAGTGTTGTAGGCAGCCTTAAATGGTCAATAGATAATGCTCTAAAAAGCATTTTAACATAAACTGAACAACTGATTGATCCAATTAAGTTATTAATGTGACTCTGTTGCTACCCAAGACCAAGGTTCGACACACCTGTTTTTGTCACTTGAAAAAAAGCTTTTCTTTATCCATGTAGGCTCAAAACCATCATGTCAGACAAAGTTCGTACTCGTGTACGATATTAATGCATGCTTCTTTGTAGCCTTTGCGTTCATGAGGTGAAGAAGAGGAAAGTGCATGGTATGTTCGCATTTTCCAAATGATGACACCAGCAGAAACCCCACTGGTGGCCAGAGCCTCCTCCCACACTCACCCACAGTGACGCGCTGTTTGGTCAGGAAGCAGTGCATTTCCCTAATCTCCTTCTCCAGAGCATGGTCTTTGCAGGTGAAGTACACTATGCCTCTCTTGGCTTTAGATGCAGCCATGATCTGGATTAGAGCTGAAAAAAGGACAAAAAGGAAGAAAGCCAGTGAGAGAAGGAGAGAGAATGATCAGTGACCTCAGTTCCTCTCTTAACCCCTGCATCTAATTCCATCTAAATTCTTAATCATCGAGGCTTATTAAGAACGTATTTTATTAATTGTTATTTAAGTAGAGTTCAGTTCAGCCCACACACCAACTGAAAGAGCCTGTGCAGTAGTGTGTTGTAGCTTGCATCGATCAGAGTTTCTCATCACCTCGTGTTCTTCTCTCTGGTGTGTCGAAGCGCTGGTCCTGGAGAATGTGCTATACATATGAACAAGTCCTCATGTCCAGTGGCAAAAAGACACTTTTTGGCTGTTTAATTGCAGAAAGAGAAGCTCCAATTTGTGAGGACATAAAAATTAGGATTTAGTCTTGTCTTTCTCTTTTGTTTTATATGTCCAAAAGCACACAAAGATAAAAGGCAATCCTGTTCATGAATCCTGCTGTGCACTAACCTTACACACTGTGTAAGGAAATCAGAGCATCCTGCGTAAACCAATAGGTGTAGAGAGTTAACATGCAAACTCTACCCAGCCTGAAATTCAGAAGCAGTAGCACTGCCACACCACCACTGCTGTCAGAATTTTAATATTACACTACTAGTTGTTATATTAACTATTTCTTTCCGTTGAAATGTACTGTCGAGGAATATTTCAGAACTTTGCATCCAGAAGCGGAAAAGTTTAAACTTACAGCAGCAAATCATTTTCCTGCAGGAAGGCAGAAAGAGGACATGAGACCTCTGTCTCCTTCTGCTTCACTGAACACGTGCATCTCCCAGGAGCACCACGAGTTCAGAGGAAAGATATGCTATTAATTTTGTTTTACTATTTTAGAACCATTACTAGTATTCTATGTGCTGCATGAAGAACAGAACAGATGTCCCCCGAGAGTAAATCAAGGACTGGAAATAGCATCCCTAAGGGTTTCTTTTTTTCCAAAAGCTGGTGTCTCACATGTGCACGTCTTTTCATTTGCAGAAGAAGTGCTTTAAAGATGGTGGAAGAAATGGTGTGCAAGCAGATGTGACAGCTGTGAAAGTACTGGAGTTGAGCAGCGTCTGTGGGTCACATGAAGAAGCCAAGGGCAGGGCGGCAAGCAAGCACAGGCAGGCCTGGTAAACAGGCTGCCAAAACACAAAGCAAGGAACTAGCATGGGAACTGGGAAGGGAGAGCCCAGAACACCGCCACGGCAGATCTTAAATAGGCTGTTTTTCATGAGACGGGCCTTGTCGGAAAGTGAGCGAAGCTAGAACTGACTTTCTTCCTGAGCAAGTACCCCCCGGCAGCTGAAGGACAGGTAAGGCTCTGCCGTTTGACATAGTAATGCTAGCTTGTTTTACAGCGCTCCAGCAGGGGGCAACGTGACAACAATAACATGGTTCAGGAAGAAGCATGCTTAGCCCTGAACGGCCTTTACTCAGTTCCAGAGAACTGGTCTAGTGTCCTAGGCTCTGAAGAGCCCCTGTGTTTTAATTTCAGCTCAGGCTCACTGATCTCTAGTTGATGGCTGCCAGTAATTAATATCGAACCCTGAACCCCCATCCCATCTCACTCACCTTTGAGGCGAGGGTCACCATGGAAAGCCCCGCAGCCCCAGTTGCCAGTGGCAATGGGGGTGTAGTAGTCTGGGTGTGTTCCACAGTCTTCATAGAATCCACAGTATGCCTTTAACACACGCATACACATTAGACACCCGCAGTGCACAGTGGCACCCGCACACACTCCCCCCTGGTCAGGCACCCACCTTATTCAGCTCTCGGGTCACACTGCCCATATTGAACTGTTCACTGGGGTTTTGGAACTTGAGCGCGTCGATGGCCACTATTTCTGTACGGAGTCTCATCCACTCGTCTCTGTGTGCATAAAAAGACAGGATAGGATACTTTTTCTGGAGCCTCATCGATCGTTCCTGGACTGCAAAGCCACACTTGTGACCTCAGACGAGTCTCAGGACAAACATGAGGCACAAGGGGGAACTACAGGGAAGCGCTTTTTTTTACACAAAGAGAGGTGTGAGTGTGGAGCAAGCTACCCAACCATGCTGTTGAAGCTGATGCCCTGGCTTCCTTCAAGAAACGGCCGATCAATTCCTGTAGCTGTTAACTGCCCTTCTCTGGTTTGTAAGTGTTCTAATGTTATTTTTTTAAGAAACAATTATATCATCGCTGCGTGGTTTGAAAACCTTACAATTTACTTCACTTGAACTGCAAAGTTTTATTCGCAGCTTAAGTATCCAGGAAAATACTGTGATTAGAAATTGCTGCCATCGATTACATGTTGCCATACTGATCTGTGGAGTAGAATCTAAGAACGCTACCTTTCCGTGTTGTCTATGTAAGGCGCTGTCCACCTGTAGGAGTCGCTGTAGCCGGTGTAACAGCTGTAGCGCTGTGCCCCTGCAGAGAGAGAGAGAGAGAGAGAGGGTCAGGGGGTCAGAAGTCTCTCAACGCCTCGAGTTGCTCCTGCTCTCCTCCATACAGCTGCCTCCACAGCTTTCGCATCGGACTCACGGCAGTGAGAAAGGCTCGATTCAGTTGTCGAAAAGAATTCATTTCCCTGGTTTCTGAATGATTAAAAGCCCATCATTTTGTAACAGCAGTTAAGGAGCAAGTGAGACAAGTGCAAACCCACGATCCCTGCTGTGTCCCACCACTGTCCTGTCTCTGCACTTGGCCTCTTCAGTTCTCTCTGTGCCAGTCACTATTTCTGCCATGGTAGCCACACTACTTGCACAACGGCACACAGGGACACCTGTGCAGGACAGCAGGCAGGGTCAGCGGCTGGCACTGTGGCACTGGCGCACCTGTGATCCGCAGGCAGTCTCGGTCGCCCAGCTTCTCCGTGAAGAGCCGCGCCACGATCAGCTCGGGGTTGATGAGGAAACGGATCTCCTCCTGGACCAAGCCGTTGCCCAGAACCCCTCCACCCACCAGATTACAAGCAAAGTCCACCTGCGGGCACACACAAAGGTCAGCGGGGGGCTGCAGACACAGGGGTACGCTGTGTTGCTTGAAAATGTCCGGGGCCCCTCCCTACCTGCAACATTCCCTCGCCTTCGGTCTCAATGGTGCCGTCCGACTGGACGTGAAGTTTGGAGATCGTGTCATTACAGCTGAGCAGCAACAGAGGGAGAGAGTCTTCAATGAGTTTTAACAAACTTTCTGCACCTGTCAAAATTCAGGTCTCTATTGCTACTGTCTGTCAGCGCTGTCCTTACATTATGAGGAACTATAGCAGTCCTCGTCATTTCAGTCACCAATAATACAGGTGATCAAGAGTTAAAGGGGAAAGGAAGCTTATCATACACCTACACATGTCCACTGTTTCCGTCCTGCTGATAAGTGTGAGGCCGATACCAACAAAAAAAAAATTGTTTTCCAAAATGCATCAGTTCCATTACCAACAAGCTTACTCAAACTTGTGGGGGACACTGTGTTTCATACTATCTACAAACCACTCTTTAAACAAATGCTTTTTTTCAGAGCAAAACAATAAACACAACAAAAACGAAGCGAAAAAGTGTGAAAAAACACTAAAAAAGGCCATTTAACACGGGGCTAATTACGTGTGTTCTTAAGAACAGGCATGTGCACACCCTGCCTCCACACTGTCGCCAGCAAACTGTACATATGAGCTGAGGCGGTTAGTGAAACACTGAAGACCAGTGCTCCCACGCTCACTGACTGTCTTCACAACTGCGCAACTGGTCCTTCAACTTCCTTGAGCGCCGAAATGTGAGAGAGCGATAATTACTGTTGCCATGAGATCTGTTCTGTCAGATGCCGTCTCTCAAAGGTCACCAGGCCACGGGGACATGCCTCTGTGAGGGGTCAATCAAAAAGAACAGGTGTAGTTCTTCATTGGGCAAATGCTTTGGATTAACAGAGAGAAATGTAACCCTGTTCACTACTCCAGTGTCCACTACACTGTCTTCTCAGTGATGGACAGTAGTTTTGGCTCTGGAACAGAGAGGTGATCAATGCTGGCTTGTTACATTCTGTAGGCACACAGGTCCATTGCTGTCTTTTTTCGCAAACAGAGAACAGGCCCATGGTGCCTGAGACACTGGCTGCTGACAAGCAGGATACAATACGCACAGAGCCTGTTTCAGAGCCTCCGAATGAGTGCTATTTCTACAAGGGCTCCCTGCAGGAGTGTACTACAGTTGTGAGCATACCTGCCTGCAGCGTTTCTGTGCTGGCAGTGGAGGAGTAGAGATGAACAACATACCTGTCACAGTTCTGAAGTAATGGAAAAGTGTCTGGAGTTTCTGGTGCTTCCGTTCTGAGTACTGTCCAAACAGCCTGCAGGAAGAACACAGTTACAGCATCACCACGCCTCACCCCTGCAGGACCCTCTTTAAGGAGTGCAGGGTGGAAATGAGAGTAAGGCCTGTGAGTCAGGAGACCAGCCCAGGGCTACTCTGCACAAGCAGATCAAAGTCTGAGTGGAAAGGACTGCTGGCAGGATTCACCAGGATGGGCCAGTTTGTAACCTTTCTTATCTTCTTATATCAGGAGTACGAATGCTGGAGATTGAGGTTCACCAGTGGTTGAAAAAGCAAAGGCTGAGTTCCATGATCCTGACACCTTTACTTCGAGTTTTGCTCATAACGTGGGTCCCTAACCAATGTCATTATGAGCTTAGCGCAGGGGATGGAGAAGGAGAATAGGACGACATCGTGACACAGGCTCCCAGGAAGAACGGACGGCCTCTTTCGAGATACAGCTGCTGATATCGATTTCAGGGAAGGCACTCTGTGTTGTGTGCTTTTGCGTAGTGGTTGCTTGAAACAGGCAAGCAGGTGGCTGTAGGGGGGAATCGCGAGTCACTGACCTGCTGAAGTTGATGTCTGGGTAGTTGCTGTACTCGGAGTGCTGTTTGGTGGTGTTGCGGTTGGGGAAGGTGCAGTAGAAGGCGTTGGCCAGCAGGCAGGCGATCTGCTTCTGCGACAGAGTGATGGAGTGATTGTGGCCCTGCCTCAACAAAGGGATCGCCTGCAGACACGGGGACACCAGCAGCAAGATCAGGTAAGCTGGGAGAACTGACACCAGTCCGCGCTCAGACAACAGTACGTTCTTCAGAAAGACTGATGCCGGTTTTGAGGAGACGTGATCTGGATGCGTCCCTTACTGCCCCTTACCATCCGGCACACATCTGGGAGACTGACAGCCAGCTCGGCAATCTTGCCCAGGGTTCGAGAGCAATCTCTTTTGTCCTTGGGAGAGTTCTGTTGAGAGGAAGGGAGAGTCGGCGTACATCAGGGCCCAAAGGCGTACATTGACTTATTTTGACATTTTCTGTTGTTTTCGAACCAGTGGAGAGAGTTTTGTTAAGTAACTGACATCTCAGCAGGAAAAGACCCTAACTTCAGGACCAGGGTTGAATAACACAGACCTTTAGAATTGGGGGCAAGGAACAGCTCTAAACAGCTGAAGAAAGAAAAGCTTCAAGTGGAGCACAGAACAGAAGTGTACAGTGTAGTGTAGTAAATTATAGAACTATAGTATTTTAAAGTATAGTACAGAAGAAGAATTGACTGAAGACAAGGAAACTTAAAGCACATCATGGTGACTGAAATTACAGCAGAGTAACAGGTGATGAACTAGAGCAGTGGTTCTCAAACTGTGGTACGGGTACCTAAAGTGGTACGCGGAGTGCCGCTAGGTGGTACGCCAAATGACCCTGGAACTGTGTCGTGTGCGCTGAAAAATCAGGATGGGTTTTCATATTTTGTATTTTAATACGTGTCGAATACGCAGCCTAAATACTACGATACAGTGTGCGCTAATACTTCAGTGGACACAAGAGATACTCTGTAATTCTATACCACTCTATAGGAATGCGTGCTATGGAAGCAAGTGACCAATTGTATTTAAAAAAAGCTACTGTATCTCCAGCAAATAGGGAGGTAGGAGAATGTACGTGATTTTGGAACAATGTCAATGTTGTAAGCACAGGAATGCGAAGAAATACGTGCTATGAATGTTGGTAATCTTGTGAGCACAGGAAAGCGTGATAGATAACAGAAAAATATTTAAGAACTGTTCTAAATTAATTTGAGAAAAATACACATAGCGTCTCTGTGTTTCACTCCCATGCGAATGAAATAAAAACTTAAAATAAATACGGAAATAAAAACGGAAACACTGAAAAATGCAAGCTTGCGGATTGCTAAAGCAGGTAAGCCCCATACTATTTTTGAAGAACCTTATTTACCATTGGCAAAAGAGCTGACGTATTATGTGAGGAGAAAAAGCTGCTAAACAGCTCGACCTGCTGCCCCCTGAAAGACACAGTCACTCATAGAATTATTGAAATGAAGGATTATATCAAATGTACGCTGATAGAGCGCGATAAGATGAGCAGATGCTTTTCACTGCAATTAGATGAGTCTGTAGTCGATTTGGCCAATTTGCTCATTTTACTTTAGATACGAGTTTGAGGGCATGTCCCATGAGGACTTTCTGTTCTGTAAGCCGCTACGAACAGGAACTACAGGAGAGCACATACTTTAGCTTCTGAATGAATTTATCGAAGAGAATGGGATAAAATATGTCGGAGTTTGTACAGACGGTGCTAGAGCAATGACAAGCCGACACAGCGGTGTAGTTGCACGAATTAGAGAGGTTGCTGCAGAAATTAATGGACGCATTGCAACATCCACCGCGAGACTTTTGAAGTCAAGAAAATGCCTGACGATTTAAAATCTGTTAGACTCCGTTGTGAATTGTATCAAGGCTCGAAAAATTAATTCACATCTGCTTTGCTCGACTAAACAGGCTCACCCCTCTCACTGAAATGGTGCTTTTTAATTATTTTTATTTGTTGTTGTTACTGCTTTTTTCTGTAAAACACTTTGAGAAGCCACCTTTAAAGGCGCTATATCAAATAAAGTTTATTATTATAATATTTATTATATGTATGCGCGCTCATGTTGGTCATTGAGAATTTCTGGGGTTCCTATGGGATGATGACTTGTAGGTGGTACTTGGATGCTTTGGTTGGATTAGGGGTGGTACTTGGTCCAAAAAGTTTGAGAACCACTGAACTAGAGTATAAGACATGAAAGGCTGGTCTATTTACTCAGACAGGGCTTGTATCACAGAACACAGCACAAGGTGAACATGGAAAGCACAGTGGAGTGAGTCTGGAATTCACTGACCTTATAAAATTCATGGAGTGCATCAAATGACCATTCATCCTTATAAGCTGGATTGTACTTCTTTATAGCCTCCTTCACAGGATAAAGGGGAAAAATGCATCAGGTGTTGTAGGTCAGCACCCTTTCTGCTTGGGAACTCTGCTGGGGCTCCAAGATCATGCCCAAGTCTTTTTTCTTCACTGCTAAAGGTCTGGGCTCTAATCTGGGCATAATTCAAGTGGTTATACTCTAAATCAAGCAGTTATATACTTATTCAAGCAGTTATATTCTAAATGATGCTGTTATATACTAATTCAAGCAGTTGTACTCTATATCATGATGTTATACACTAATTCAAGCATTTATATTCTATATCAAGCTGTTATACTCTATATCAAGCACTTAAAATGTACATCAAGAAGTTATATCCAAATTCAAGCAGTTATACTCTAATACTCTAAATCGTGCTGTTATATACTGATGACTGATGAGTGACTACACTATATAATGAAGGTTCTTGAGAATTTCACTGGAAGGCAGACTGGCATCAGGATGATGCCAAACAGCAGCGTGAGTTTGCGTTTTTCCAAACAGCTTCTCTGTGCTGCCCTTACTAATTATGACCCCTTATGCCCAGTTCAGACAGCTCCTACCTCAACATCAGTGACTGAAGGCTCCTTGGACAGGCGTGACAGTTTTTTCTTAATGGACTCCCAACGTCTGACACTATCACTCATGATCTGAAAGAAAGGACAGAGCCGACATCAAACACTCCCATCATCCAGTGCTCATGGTACAAAATAAAACCAGTTGTTAACTTACTTCCTGCCTTTTGTATTCATCCTTAAATCAGTACATCCTAGCTACTGTATATCTAGTCTCTTAAGGTTTTCCTCCAAAAAAAGAGAATGTGCTATTCTGAAGTTCAAAATGATGCTCATTAGTCAAGTGTACACACCACTTAAACTGGAGAGACAGTATGAAAAAAAACAAAGGAAATTTTATTCTCCTGAGTTAAAAACACATTGCCCACAATTCTACACTGCTGCACATTGAACTTAATTATAGTATATAGTTATTATATTTCTGTGATTTATTATTGACCACACTTTCTCTACAATCTCCCTCACAAAATCAGTCTTAACCATAACAGATGTTTCTAATTAATGTTTATTTTAGTACATTATAAGTAGAACTACCCAGAATCCAACACATTAAATGTGTCAAAACTATAGGAAACTGCAGCAATACCACAACACAACTTTGGTAAAAGTGTAAAAATATACACCATAGTAAGGGTTCATAAAGGAACAGCCAAGTCAGGAACAGAGATGACTTAAATTCAAAGATGCCACATCTGTCAATACCGTTAAAGTAGCTAAAACATATTGGTCTATGAAGGGTGTGATATACTGTAACATGACCTGATGCCATTCTCCCCCTTCCCATTCATAAGAGAAGACAGAGGTGGAAACTAAGTGCCTTCAGGGCTGAAAGCAGGAGGTCCTTCTTTACGTTAAGGGCGGTGCGGGTCTGGAACAAACTAGCGATGTTACGAAAGCACATTCCCTGGGATCCTTCAAGGAAACAGCCAGACAAGATCCTGGAGCAATAAGATACTAGTAACAGAATGAGCAAGGTGGACTGACTGGCACCCTCTCATCTCATCGGTAATCCTTAAATTTCCTAAAATGCCTTATCCAATTCAGGATTGCAGGGGAACCAGAGCCTCCTGGCAAGCAATGGGAGTAAAATGGGGTACACCCTGGACTAGACACCAGTTCATCACAGGGCACCCACAGACAGACACACACCAGGGCCAATTTTCCCAGAAGCCAGTTAACCTACGAGTATGTCTTTGGACTGTGGGAGGAAACTGGAGCACCCAGAGGAAACCCACACGAACAAGAGGGGAACATACTAACTCCACACAGACAGCACCCCAGGAACTAAACCCGGAGCCCCAGTGCTGAGACCAACCATTGGGCCACCCATTAATCTTCCCTAAGGTCTAAATCCAAACTTGGGTTTTCCACTTATTCACCGTTTAACATGCTAAACTGTAAATCATTTATAGATTTGGAAAAAAATACTTGGGGCATATTCCTACATACAGGACAACAGTTTAACATCAGGTCTGAAAATGGAAACAGCTGCAAGCAGCAAATGTGATATCAGATGCCTACAAGGAGAAGAACAGAACATGTTCCCAAATGTCGTGGAGATGCAGTCCAGAGTAAACTATCAAAGGAATCATTGGACGTACACTTTATACTTCAAAATAAGTGTATTATTTAACAAACTGTTAATGTTTCACACCAAAGCCTTCATCGGGAAAAATGTACTTTGTTCACTAAAATCCCACTTTATATAGAAATCCCCCTGCCAACAACATACAACATGAGAGGGGGAAAACCCCTGGTTAAAAACTGGAACAGCCATCATTGAATAAATAGACCAATTATATCTTAATTATATAAATTATAATTAAGATTCACAAAATAAAAACATGCCCTACCATGGATTTTTTAGTGTACATGCTGTGCTCAGAGCAAGGCATTTTCACAAATGCACCATGCCAGTGGTCTCTCCCCTCCTGGGGTTTCAGTTCTTTCTTGGCCTTAAAAGCATTCACCTACAAAGATGTGGAAAAAAGAAAGATAGTAAAATCCAGCTCAAACACCATTTTACCTGCTGGAACCCAGAGCTTGAGGAGGCAGCTATTCTTAACAATACCGTTTCAAAAAATGTAAGTTAGGTTAGCCTCCAACTTCAAATATTCCTTAGTCTCTGTGGACTTTAGCAATTTTATCAAATAGCAATTAAGCGCAGGGTGATCCCTCACCTTGAAGTGCAGCCAGTCTTTCCAGGTGATAAGCACTACAATACAGGCTGCTGGTGAAAAGGGTATTCCACTTCACAAACTCACTGGAGTCAACTACCAAACACTCTCCCCATGACTATGATCCCCATGTCCACATACAGGGGGACAAAGGAAGGGCAGGAAGACTCCTCCCACCTGCCCCCCTTCCAGCCAATCACATTTTAACACATCACAGGCAGCAAAGCTCTGGAACAGTGGATCAGCGCTGATTGGCTGACCGCACCGTGAGCCTGCAAGCTCCCAGGATGCCACAGGCGTCACTGAGATCCCAGAGAACTGACTGACCCCACCCTCTGGTCAGATAGTGACCTGTCCCAGGCTCAAACCCGCGATCCCTGGATCATACAGCTCCACTACTCTCAAACCCCACTCAACTACAATACTAAGGAAAAACAAATACAAGAAGCCAGTTCCTCTTATTTCAACAACAGAAAAAAAACGGCGGTCTCGCACGGCCTTACGTCTATGAGCACGGTTTGTGAATGGCTGTAGCAGAGGGGACGGAGAGACATTCTGTGCTTGGGCTTCATCTCTGATATCCCTGCACACTCCTTCATCGCTGGCGCACCTCTGCCTGAACCCAGGACCACGGTGCTCTCCTTCTTCTCCTCCCACTCCCTCTCCGCTCCAGCCGAAACTGTCTGACTCTCCCGGCTTTCGGAATTTGAGGAACCCCGTCTTTGTCTCGGGGATTCAGACTCGCGGTCCTGCACCTGACACGCTGTATTGACGTTTCTCTGATCAGTGTTGCCTTGATCATAGGTGAGACAGGAGAACACTTGGGAACTGCTGTTTGCATGTTGGTGATGTCTCTTAGCCATATCTGTGAAAGAGGGAGGGAAGGTTTCACATTGTCTCACCGCAAAGCGAAGGATCACACAAAACATTTCTGCATGAACAAGCATCCAATAAAGGAAGAAGAGTCATCAGTAACATTTATGTAAAATTTAACAAAAATCATTTCTCTTGAAATGATTTTTCAAGAGATAATCTCTTTAATCATTTACAACTTCACATAACGGGTCCTTCAGGCACTGGTTGGCAATACTCATCCGTGCAACTTAAAATACACAGAAATACGCCTTCACTAAACATGGGCTGTTTAATGTGCCATAGGTGTTGTTATACTAAGGCTGTAAAATCCATATCAAGCTTAGCCAAGTTATAGCCGAGCTTCTCCGTATTCACCTCTGAGGGATTCTGCTCGGAAACGTCCCTACTTATTCTACTTAAAACAGGCCCCAGTCCCTCACAAGAGTCTGCTCTGTGAGGGGCCACAGAACAGCACTGTCTGCTGCGATCTCTGGAGAACTTGCTTTTTCAATGTTTGTTTACCTCTCTATTTTTTAGGGACAAGGGATTAATGAATCCCAATGGACTGGATTTTCATCCTTCAGCACAAAAGGAAACGCATTGTGTTTTTTAACACCTTCTTATTAACGAAAGCCAGTTATATATTTTTTTTTTTTTAAATAAACGGGCAGGTGACAGTGTTACCTTCTCCCTCTCTGTCCTCCATTACTGCCTCATTCTGTAATGCCATGGCAGACTCAGCCTCGTGAGCTTCACTCTCTTCCTCCATCTTCCCAGGGTCTTCTTCATTCACCATGGGGCCGCCCGTGTGTGATGAGAATAATGGCGGCCCAAGAGCCCCATCAGACTTGTTTGCAGACACCTCTCCCCTGCCTTTATCTGCCCTTTCTGCATTTGTAACAATCTGTTTCAGTCCCTTTAACTCAAGCAAATGGCTCTTGATTTGTTCCCTCAACTTCTGGATCTCAAGCCGTAGTCGTTTGTTTTCTTGTCTCAGTTCCTCCTGAGACACCATGGGAGAGGAGGAGGCGCTCGTGTCCGCCCCAGGCTGCTCTTCGGAGCTGAAGGTTACCATTTTCTCTTCTGACGTCGGTGGCGTGGGCTGGCCCACTTCCTCCGGGCTCTCAGCTGAAACCTCATTCCCCTCTTTGGAAGATGAGCTGTCCTGGATGCTTTCCATGCTTACTGCTCTCAAAGCCCTAGATTTCAATTGAGCATCAATACATCAGGCCTCACCATCCTCAACCTCAGTCTTAGCATGTATAAGTGTGCCTATCTGTTTTGACAATCTACCTGTACTACACATGGGAAACCCTAGCTGGGCTCCCCAAGAAGGTTAGGAGTGTTCAGGTGATGCCTGAGAAGGTTAGGAGCGATGAGGGTCTCCCGAGAAGATTGGAACTGTTTGGGTGCTCCTTGAGGAGGTTAGAAGTGTTTGGGTGA